CTGGAGCATACCTAAGGTCTACTACAGTTCCTTCAAGAATTGTGGACTTTAATTGGATCCATTTGGAAAGCTGTGAGCCAAAATGGATGGTACCCGAGCCTTGCTGGATAAGGAGAAGAATCCTCTGGGTTTTGCCTGTAATGCAGCCTTACAGCGCTGGACCCTGTGTAGATGGAACCCTGTGCAGTTTTAAATTGGGTGCTTTCCAGCGGGGTGCTATACGGGTCCAAGGCAGTGGCCCCACATTATGGGGACTGGATCCTTGAAGGTCTGTATGACAATGCCAGCTGTGATGGGCAAAGGTTTGTGCCTGGCAGAAGTTAGGGACCTGCAGCGGGACTGGTAAGCGATCTTTTTTTCTCTCTGCAAAAAAAAAAACATAAAACAAAGCTCAAATTTGGAGGGTATTTTTTGCTTGGCAAAAGTTTCCACCAGGGGGAGTGCTCAGCATTTTAGCCAAGGACATGCTTGCCTGTTGTTTCTGTTGGGGCCACTAGAGGGAGCGTTCTGGTCCTTAGGAGTGTGGCCAGCCATCAGCTGTGGGGCATGTGCACGGTGGGGTGCACGCGCATGCATGCGCAGTAGTGGCTGGAGTGGAAGTCGGCCATATTTATTAATCAGGAGGCCTGGGCACATGTGGGCTGCTGCTGCCTCAGTTGGATTCATGTGACCAGGACACAGCAGATTATTCAGTGGGGCACGTGAGTACTCCCCTGGGAGGGGGGGGAGGGTTGGCCGGCCAGTCAGGAGCTGCCTTTGGTGGCCCGTAAGGTCAGCAATTTGCATTGAGTGTTTTCTTCAGCACACTACTTGCATAGCTGTATCTTGTGGTTTGTGTTTACTATTAGAGGTGCACAGTTTTTTACGCTCTCTGAAGTAATGTCTTCCAGAAAGGGGAGTGGGAGAAGGACCGCAGGAAGGGGCACTAATGTGCCGTCGCCAGGTGCTGAGGAACCTAGCCGAATATCCATTGTAATAAACTCTCTTGAGAGGCCAGAAGCAACTGGGCAGTCTGAGCCACTGTGTTTATCTGGCATTGTGGCTACTACTGGGGCATCTTAGAGGGTTTAGAGGTTAAGATCGCAGGTATGATTGCATTGGTTTTTCAGGGGACTAAAAAGCAGGAGAGATCCCCGTCACTAGAACCACCAATCCTGGAGCAGGAATGGGTGGAACCTGAGGATGAGGAATAACTAGAGGAAAGTAAGGCATTCGAGTCTCTGTCTGAGGGGTCACAGCCTGAGGAGATGCAGGAGGTTTCTGCCTCCCAATCTCAGAGGTTATTAGTACAGGACCTCACTGATGTGGTACGATCTGGATTCGGACTACCTCCGATAGAAACCTCTGAGGTTGCTTAATTTTATCTGGGATCTTTGAAGCCTCCACAGAGTACTCAGGCCTTTCTTCTTCTGGAACAAATGATATATGCTGACTGGGATCACCCAGATAGGGGTTTTATTCCACCAAAGAGGTTTTCTTTTTTGTACCTCATGGAAGAGACTTTTGTTAAGAAATGGGGTATGCCTGTAGCGGATGCAGTTGTTTCATCCCTGAATAAGTCTTTAACGTGTCCTGTGAATAATGTCCAGGTCTTTAAGGATCCAGCGAATAAGAAACTGGAGTCTCTCCTTAAGGCCTCTTTCTCCCTGGCAGGTTCTGCCACACAGCCAGCAGTGGCAGCTATTTGCCAGAGTCTAACTGTGTCAGATGACTGCTTGGAAGACCATTGGTGCAGGGGGAATACTCGGCCGAGGATTTGGAGGATGTTCCATGTGCTTTGTTTTTGCGGTTGATGTTCTTGAGGATTCAGCTCAGCAAATTTCTTACTTGGCCCTCTTATCAGTACATATGCGCAGGGTTTTGTGGCTAAAGAATTGGTTGGTAGAACTGTCATGCAAAAAATTATTGGCAGGTTTTCCCTTTCATGGAGAGGGGCTGTGTGGGGAAGACTTGGACAAATATATCCAAAAGATTTCAGGAGGAAAAAGTTCTCTTCTGCCCTTTAAAGGGAGATCCAAGCACCCTTCTTTTAAGGTTGGCTTCGGTTGCTGGCCCCTCATCTACCAGGCAGTCGTTTTGGCACACATAGGTCCCAGCCTCCAAGGGTAGAACTCAGAATCAAAATTTGAGGAGGCCCTGGGTGCAAAAGTCATCCAAGACAGATCCAAAGTCTGCCTCCTTATGAAGGGGCACCCCCACTTGTTTGGGTGGGGGCAAGGCTTGAATTTTATTGCTGCCTGGAGGGCTATAATCCAAGACAAGTGTACCGAAGATCCAGAGAAGAGAAGTGCTTTATAACAGGCACTTGATAGCCTATTGTCCCAAGGGGTGATCAGAGGTTTCAGTGGACAAAGGGTTTCAGGGGTTTTATTCAAATCTGTTCACAGTCCCAAAGCCAAATAGGGATGTAAGGCCCATTTTGGACCTCAAGGGGCTAAATCAGGTTCTAAATGTCCGGTCTTTTTGTATGGAAATGGTTCGGTCAGTAGTGGCCTCTTTACAGGTAGGAGATTTTTTAGCGTGCATAGACATCAAGGACACATACCTACATGTGCCGATATTCATTTCTCATCAAAGATTTCTGTGGTTTGCAGTAGTGGCTCAACATTTCCAGTTCATAGCACTACCATTTGGGTTGGCCATGGCTCCCAGAGTTTTCCCAAAAATTATTGCTTTGGTATTGAGGCCGCTCAGAACTCGGGGGGGGGGTGGTATCAGTCATAGGTTATCTAGACTATCTGTTGCTCAGAGGTTGCTTGGTGCCAGGTCTGAAGCAGGATGCGGTCCTAAAGATGCAGATCCTGAAACAGCTGGGCTGGGTGCTCAACTTCAAGAAGTCAGCTCTGGAGCTAGTACAGAGCCTGGAGTATTTGAGGATGGTCCTAGACATGGTTCAGGCAAAAATATTTCTACCTCCAGGGGAATGTTGCGCCCTGAGAAACGAGGTTTGCAGTTTAAAAACCAAGAGGTGTTCTTCAATTTTCCTCTGTATTAGGCTGCTGGGGAAGATGGTGTCCTCATTCGAGGCTCGTTTGAGGCTATTCCCTATGCCCAATTCCACTCCAGACTGCCGCACAGGAACTTTCTGACTGTTTGGAACAGGAATGTTCCAGCCCTAGATTACTGTATGTCTCTGTCTCCAGAGGTGCTGCGTAGCCTGAATTGGTGGTTGATGAATCACAATTTGGGGAGAGGGAGATCCTTTCGGCCAGTGGTGTGGAAATTGGTAACCACCGATGCCAGTCTCTCAGGTTGGGGGCTGTCCTGGAGGAGGCCACAGTTCAGGGAATATGGCTTCCACGGGAAAGGGTACTACCCATCAGTGTCCTAGAACTTCAGGCAGTAAAACTGGCTCTGAGGTATTGGACATCCAGACTTCAGGGTTGGCCTGTAAGGATTCAGTTCGACAATACCACAGCAGTGGCATACATCAAACACCAGGGCGGTACCAGGAGTCAAGGGGCTCAGGAGGAGGTGAATTACATTCTGACCTGGGCAGAGAGATATGTTCCAAGTTTGTCAGCGGTGGAAAATTGGCATGCGGATTATCTCAATCACCGGTGGTTGATTCCAGAGGAATGGGCTTTACATCCCAAGATTTTCAAGGGAATCTGCCAGCGATGGGGGTTGCCTGGAAGTAGATTTATTGGCATCCATGTTCAACAAACAAGGTTGGTCTTTTTGTGTCTACGGTAAGGGACCCTCGCACGGCAGGGGTAGATGCCTTAGTGATTCCTTGGAACCAGCTTTCACTGATTTTATGCCTTTCCTCAGATTCAGCTTCTGCCATGTTTCTAATAAGAATTCGGGAGGAGTCTATTCCGGTGATACTGATTGCTATGGCCTGGCCCAGGAAGGCTTCATACGTGAACATAGTGAAAATGGCAATAAACCATCTACTGTAATCTACCAGCATGTCTTTGGAGTGTGGGAGGAAACCGGAGTACCCGGAGGAAACCCACGCAGGCACAGGGACAACATGAAAACTCCAGGCAGGTGGTGCCGTTGCTAGGATTCAAACCAACGACCTCTAGTACTGCCAGGCGGAAGTGCTAAACATTTAGCCACTGTGTTGCCCATCATTCAAACCTGTGGTTTGAAAGGTACAATCCCACCCTATCGGGTGAAGGCACACTCTACCAGGAGTGTGGGGACATCTTGGGCAATCCACCATCAGGTGTCGGTGGCTCAGGTTTGCAAGGCCCCTACATGGTCTTCAGTTCACTCATTTACAAGGTTCCACCAGGTGGATGTCAGAGCCGCAGAGGATTCTGCCTCGGCTGAGTAGGTCCTGAGGGATTATTGACGGTGGCTATCATAGTGTCACCCTCCGCACAAATTTCTGTATTGCTTTGGCACATCCCACGTAGTCAAGAATAGCCTGCTCTGTGACTTGTGATGTATGATAAAGAAAACTGGATTTTTTTTGCATACTTACCTGTAAAATCCATTTCTTGGAGTTCATCACGGGATACAGAGGTCTCGCTCTGCCTTCTGGAATTTCATTGCTTGCTTCAAAAACTGAAGTACTTCTTTTTTAGGAGGGGTTTATATATAGGGGAGGACCTCCTCTCTGATTGGTCAGCCAGTGTCCATTCACCTGTAGGTGGCATATAACCCACATAGTCATGAATAGCCTGCTCTGTGCCCTGTGATGTACTCCAAGAAATGGATTTTTACAGGTAAGTATGTAGAAAAAAAATCCCGTTTTCCTTTTGCTTCTGTAGGCCAGGAAGTCCAGGGAAATCCTTTCAATGGGACATATACAGCAAACAAAAACCCCCAAAACCTAGACAGCTTTGGTCTTGGATCTCTTAATTCCTAGTGTATACAGCTTGCTGACTTGGCCTTCTCCACTCAATGTCTCTGTGTACTAAATTTCTAATAAGTTTTTTTTTTTTTTTTTTATTAGGACTGTATGTGATAATTTATGTCATTATCATTAAAGTTAATCAGGTAAATTTTCACACTGTATTTTCTCATGGATGTTATTCTTCCAGGAAAAGGAGTGTGTGGATGCTGTATCTGTTGGAGCCATCCTGTCTGACTACCAGCGTGTCCGAGTAGAGAATGTGTAAGATTTTTGTTTGTGCTTGCGGGCTTTGCTTTTATTGCATAATTATTTCAGGTTAGGATCTTGTGATGTAACTTTTTTGCACAGATTAATTGTACACTGTGAAAATACATTGTACTTTGAGACAATGTGTAGCAAATAGAAAAACAAAATAGTGATATTACGCATATCTGGTGCATAGAAACATGATTGGTTGAGCCTGCTGATGATTTGACAGCCAGCAATTTGAACTCATTTGCAGGCAGAACCCACCATTGAAACAAGCCATTTTATAACAGAGCTAACAAGAGAAAAAGTGCACAGGCTTCGTGCAATAAAAAACAAATTTGTTTAGGATAAGAGAAGAGTGAAATATGAGGTTGAATTGTAGGGCCAAAGTTAATGGCTCTTGGTGAGGGGTATGGGGGATGGCAGCACTCACTGGGACCCTGCTTGATCTTGGCTGTGTTCTTGTAGATGACATCAAGGGGTGCTTCGTGTCACACCTATGCAGGCCATAGACGGGCCGTTTATCGGCCGAATTGTCGGACAATAAACGAAAAATCGGTTGTTCCTGCCATGGATGCTGCCACCAATGCTTAAGAAAAACAGCCGTTTTTCGTAGATTTTCCAGCATGACCAATAAAAAGAAACGAGAAGATCCGAAAAACGGCCGACGGCATTGCCCCTCTAACGGTGTGAATATCAGCCAATTTTTTGGTCGGACAAAAATTCGGCCGATAAACGACCCGTCTATGGCCTGCAATAGTCGCAATGTGGGCTATGGTGAGATTTGGTTCCTAATTCAGTCTTGGACTTCATCCATGCAGCAGTTGATATGTCCGCTTTCTCATGTACACTTGGGAGTGCAATTTATTGAGCATTTCTCATACAATAAATGTTGAGTTTTTAATGCACTAGTTTGGTGTATTTTTTCTTATGTTTGCTTTGTTCTAGTCCTGTTTTTCCTTATCTCATTTAGATTCTGCAAGATATGGTTGTTTGCTTTAGATCTGTTCGCACTAGTGCGATCAGTGTTGAATGCAATTTTAACTGTGATTATGCAGTGTGAGTGGTTTGCAATTGTCAGAGGAAGTAGTGTGCTATTTTCATGTCACTGCTGTATGTTTGTGGGCACAATTGTTTGGCTTGGGCTGCTGCTACTACTACTACTAATACTCTGGAAATGAGGATAAAAATTCTCCAAAAACTCATATACAGTGGGGATCGAAAGTTTGGGCACCCCAGCTAAAAATTTGTATTAATGTGCATAAAGAAGCCAAGGAAAGATGGAAAAATCTCCAAAAGGCATCAAATTACAGATTAGACGTTCTTATAATATGTCAACAAAAGTTAGATTTTATTTCCATCAGTTACACTTTCAAAATAACAGAAAACAAAAAAATGGCGTCTGCAAAAGTTTGGGCACCCTGCAGAATTTATAGCATGCACTGCCCCCTTTGCAAAGCTGAGACCTGCCAGTGTCATGCATTGTTCTCAATCATCGTCTGGGAAGACCAGGTGATGTCAATCTCAAAGGTTTTAAATGCCCAGACTCATCTGACCTTGCCCCAGCAATCAGCACCATGGGTTCTTCTAAGCAGTTGTCTAGAAAACTGAAACTGAAAATAGTTGATGCTCACAAAGCTGGAGAAGGCTATAAGAAGATAGCAAAGCGTTTTCAGATGTCAATATCCTCTGTTCGGAATGTAATTAAGAAATGGCAGTCATCAGGAACAGTGGAAGTTAAAGCAACATCTTGAAGACCAAGAAAAATATCAGACAGAACAGCTCGCAGGTGTCAGGAATCTAGGAGTGACCAGAAAGGTGTGGACTGACACAGGGAAACGCAGGTTTCAGGTATAGTATAATAATACAGGTTATTATTAGCCACCCAGATATATATATATATATATATATATATATATATATATATAAACGCACAGTGAACAAACCAACCTTTCACTAATCTTAGTAGGTGCAGGAACACAGGCGCAGTCAGGGCTGGAGAGGTGGACCGGTCAGGCTGGTCGTAGGGTTCTGTAATGACCGTTTGGTGGTACCTCTAGTGGCCCCCAGGACAGGATTCCCCAGGGCGCGGAGTCTAAGTCCCAGCCTGCTTATTCACCAGGGCCCCTGATGGTGGGGATGGACTTGGAGCAGACAGGAACCAGGTCGCGGCCCCTGAGTACACCTGCTAGTGGTAGAGGGATCTGCCAGAGGTATGTGCAGGTACGGCTGGATCCGTGCAGGATGGATGGATGGCAGAGTAGTTAGCGTGGTCAGACGGGCCAAGTCAGCAACGTGCGGGCAGCAAGGTACCAAAGGAGCAGGCAGAGAATAGTCAAGGTCACAAGCCGGGTTCAGTAACTCACGGACAGCGCAGTACAGGGGATCAGACAGAAGGATGGTCAGGCAAGCCAGGGGTTCAACAGGAGATGGTCAGCAGAGGTCAGAATCAAGCCGGGTCAGCAACGAAGCAGGAACACAGGATACCAGGTACAGAGGCTCATGGGAAAACATACACCAAGGCCCAGAGCACAGGCCTGGTCATGCCTTATATACACCTTTCTGCAATCAGCCCCAGGTTTGGCTGATTGTGAGCTTCTGGCTGCTAAGAGCACCCGCTGGTCAGCTCTGGTACTGCAGCCCACACGGCAGGCGAGTCCCACCACCAGTGCTGAGAGCACCCGCTGGTCAGCTCTGGTACTGCAGCCCACACGGCAGGCGAGTCCCACCACCAGTGCTGAGAGCACCCGCTGGTCAGCTCGGGTACTGCAGCCCACACGGCAGGTGAGTCCCACCACCAGTGCTGAGTCCATTCCTGACAGCAGGATTGTGAGAAAAACAATTCAAAACCCACGTTTGACTGCACGATCGCTCCAGAAAGATCTGGCAGACACTGGAGTTGTGGTACACTATTCCACTATAAAGAGATACTTGTACAAATATGGTCTTCATGGAAGAGTCATCAGAAGAAAACCTCTTCTACGTCCTCACCACAAAAATCATCGTTTGAACTTTGCAAATGAATATATAGACAAGCCTGATGCATTTTGGAAACAAGTTCTGTGGACCGATGAGGTTAAAATTGAACTTTTTGGCCGGAACGAGCAAAGGTACGTTTGGAGAAGAAGGGGCACAGAATGTAATGAAAAGAACCCCTGTCCAACGTTAAGCATGGGGTTGGATCAATCGTGCTTTGGGGTTGTGTTGCAGCCAGTGGCACAGGGAACATCTCACGAGTAGAAGGAAAAATGGATTCAATAAAATTTCAGCAAATTTTGGATGGTAACTTGATGCCATCTGTGAAAAAGCTGAAGTTAAAGAGAGGATGGCTTCTACAAATGGATAATGATCCTAAACACACCTCGAAATCCATAGGGGATTACATCAAGAGGCGTAAACTGAAGGTTTTGCCATGGCCTTCACAATCTCCTGACCTCAACATAATTGAAAATCTATGGATAGACCTTAAAAGAGCAGTGTGTGACAGACAGCCCAGAAATCTCAAAGAACTGGAAGACTTTTGTAAGGAAGAATGGGCAAAGATACCTCAAACAAGAATTGAAAGACTCTTGGCTGGCTACAAAAAGCGTTTACAAGCTGTGATACTTGCCAAAGGGGGCAGTACAAGATTTTTAACTCTGCAGGGTGCCCAAACTTTTGCAGACGCCATTTTGTTTGTTTTCTGTTATTTTGAAAGTGTAAATGATGGAAATAAAATCTAACTTTTGTTGACATATTATAAGAATGTCTAATCTGTAATTTGATGCCTTTTGGAGATTTTTCCATCTTTCCTTGGCTTCTTTATGCACATTAATACAAATTTTTAGCTGGGGTGCCCAAACTTTCGATCCCCACTGTACATGCATTTTCATACATTTCCATTCAAGTTGATGGAACACAAAAAATTGCATGGCATAACACTAAAGTAGCACAAAATCTTTCCCCAAACTCACATCGCAGTTCTGTTGCATTGAATTGAATGGCCACTATTGAAAACAATAGTTTCCATTGTCATGAGATTCTGTGTGACTGAAGTTTCTTCAGAAATTGCACTGGTGTGAACAAGGCCTTAATGTAAAACTCCCTATACTGTACTCCTACACTTTTTGGGTGCTATAGAGAAGATACTAATCCCAGTGAGAATTTTTCTGGGTCAGTCATATTGCATTAATGGTGGCAAGATTACAGTAGTTATTTTATTTATCTTTGCCGTTTTAAAACTATGCTAGAAGAGACATTTGAAATCGTGTGAGAAAATGGTGCCTGGGAGGGACGTAGTTACATATTATTTATTAAACAATAAGATAGTACTGTATGAAAATGCAATAACATATCCTAGAATTCTGTGTCAATCATTTACATCCCACTCTGGGCATTTATAGCTCTCTTAATGCTTTAATTGAGCTTTATTCTTTTAGGTTCTTCCCTGTCATAATTACTAGATTTTAATATGGTCTTTGATTTGGCCAATTCAGTTTCTTAATGTGAATCAAATAACCAAATTAGTTTTGCTTAATTTGCACACTATCACCTGCCCTTTAAAACCACTGGGTTCCCCAAAAAATACTATTAGCATTTACCTGGTTGTAGATTTCTAGAAATCTGGCTCACACTCACATGTTGTAGAGAACAGTAAGCATGCCCCAGCTGTGCTTGCATGCTGTTTCCCAAAGCTGCACAAGCTTTGGACGATTGAAGTCAGCACAACTTCACTTCATTCACTAAAGTGAATTTTCACTTGGCTTAGTAAATGAGGGGAAGTTGTGCTGACTTCAATCAGCTTACCCTGAGAAATCAAGTGAAGATAAGTGAAAATTCACTTTGAAAGTGTACATGCTCTACATCTTTAGTAAGTAAGGGCCACTGCATTTTGCATACCTGTATGTGGTGTCAAGAAAACTTTTCCAGATTCATTTTTGAGAAATGTTACATGCAGCAGTATGTGTATAAAATTCTGATATATAAACTTAATTTCACACTGGTTGCCATTATTTGTCTGTTCTTTACAGGTGTCAGCGCCTTGGTCTGCAGCCATTGGCTTATCTCTGGCGAAGGAAGCAGGAGGACCTTTTGGATGAAATGATATCCAGTGGTTTGCAAGCCATACTCATCAAGGTAGCTGCATTTGGTAAGAGGGAACTGTCAGTGGAAGGACAGACAAAATAACAAATGTAGCTTATACTGTAGCTTTGTCAAAATACTGACCTCTGATGATGTAGTTCTTCACTGTAAAACCAATTACTTGTTGCAGAAAAACAGTATTACAATGGCTTGCAGTCTTTTGGACTGTTGGTAAGTCCAAGCGCAAAAAACATGGTAATTTCCCTTGTTTTCTATTAAGTAATTTCACACCGCTGCATGCACCACTATTTTCAGTGCAGTGTGTCAAGGCACAAACTATCACAGCACAAGGTCCCTGCATTGAAAAAAGAATGGGTCAGGATTAGTGCATATGCACTTTTTCTCCCAGTACACATCAGCTCTGCATTCAGTATGACGTGCTGTGTACACGAACCCTCAAGGACCTCACAGCCCCAGTTTACACACAGGGCTTCTGTTAAAAACCACGGGGCCCCTTACAGCCAACCTGACAGGGCCCCCCAAACACAGGGCCCCATACAGCCAACCTAACAGGGCCCCCCATCCCCGCAAAAAAAACAGTTTACTATGCTTCAGTTATGAATGAGCACAGTGAGTGACCGATCACTCGTGTTCATTCAGGAAAGGAAGGGGCTGGTAAATTACTGGAACTGATCCCCTGTATGTCTCTCTCTGCAGCAGCTGAAAGCCAGAATAGGGGGGAGAGAAGAAGATGCTAGCTTTCAGTTGCTGCAGAGAAAGCCATACAGGGGATTCATTTATGTAATTGCCCCCTCCTCCCCCACTGTGCCACTTACCCTCCTTGCCCACATCCGATTCACCCAGCTGCCTGGGTCCCCCTGCTGGCCTGGGCCCTCTACAGAAGGACCGGTGGTACCCCCCTTATCCATGGCCCTGTTCACACATATGCAGTGTGCTCCCTGTGCGTTTCCCATACCGCATTGCAATTGCACTGCGTTTGCGATCTGCTGTGGGTGTCAATGGTGGTGTCAAAAGGCAACAACACACCAAATGCATTGCAATCGCAGTTTGGTTTGCCCGCACACTGGACAAAACGACACATGGTACAAAACGACCATGCGATGCGGTTGCGGTGTGTCTCCAAAAAAAGTGCCTTCACTTTTTGGGTGTGATGTGGTGCAATTTGAGCCCATTTAGAATTCATTTTGAATAGCCTCAAATTGCACGAAATCACACCAAAAGATGTGCAGGCACTTTTTTTGGAGCTGCATTGCAACCACATTGCATAGTTATGTACCATGCAATCCAGTGCAGAGAATCCGCAGTGCAATTGTGATGCGTTTGGGGTGCTGTTAATGTTACATTGACACCCGCTGCGTATCACAAACACAGTGGAACACAGCTTAACCTCTTGCCGACCGCGCATAGCCGAATGACGGCTTCACCGCGGCCGGCCAGTTCTGAGTGGACGTCATATGACGTCCTCCCAGAACGCGCTCTCCTGCGCGCCCCAGGGGGCGCGCACCCGGCGATCTCCGTGATCGCTGTGTCCTACGGACACAGCTGATCACGTGATGTGGTGAAAGGCCGATCCCACCGGCCTTTTACCACGTGATCAGCGGTGTCCAATGACACGCTGATCACAGGGAAATGCAAGTGCCGGTTCTCGGCTGCACTTTCCTCACGCTGTCAGATCGTGAGGAAAGTACTGCCGAGAACTGGCAGTTGTCAGAGCGGGGATCGGCACCGATCATCAGTGCCCTGATGATCAGTGCCCTGATGATCGGTGCCCAGCAGTGACACCCGCAAGTTCCGCCCAGCAGTGCGCCCACTAGCCCCGCCCACCTGTGCCCAGCAGTGCCCCCACCTGTGCCCAGCAGTGCCCCCACCTGTGCCACTCTGCCTGTGCCCAGAAGTGCCACCTACATGTGCCCAGCAGTGCCACCCACCTGTGCCCACCCACCTGTGCCCACCTGTGCCACCCACCTGTGCCCACCAGTGCCGCCCACCAGTGCCGCCCACCAGTGCCGCCCACCAGTGCTGTCAGTCAGTGCCACCAGTCAGTGCCCAGGGGTTGTGCCAGTCAGTGCCGCCAGTCAGTGCCCAGAAGTGATGCCAGTCAGTGCCGTCTATCAGTACCCATCATCAGTGTCACCTATCAGTGCCGCCTATCAGTGCTGCATATCAGTGCCGCCTATCCGTGACCCCTAATTAGTGCTGTCTATCAGTGCCGCCTATCCGTGCCACCTCATTAGTACTGCCTATCAGTGCCCTTTAGTGCTGCCTATCAGTGCCCATCAGTGCCGCCTATCAGTGCCCATCAGTGCCGCCTCATCAACGCAAATCAGTGAAGGAGAAAAAATACCTGTTTGAAAAATTTTATAAAAGAAACAAATAAACTTTTTTTTTTTTTTTTTCAAATTTTTTGCACATTTTTTAATTTATAGCGCAAAAAGTAAAGCGCCCAGTGGCGATTAAATACCACCAAAAGAAAGCTCTATTTGTGAGAAAAAAATTATCAAAATTTCATTTGGGTACAATGTTGCATGACCGCGCAATTGTCAATCAAAGTGCGGCAGCGCTGAAAGCTGAAAATTGGCCTGGTAAGGAAGGGGGTATAAGTGCCTGGTAGGCAAGTGGTTAAAGACCAAAAAACAGTTTTGTTCTGGCTGACTAGTAGGTGTTCTTTTTCCTGTGAAATAATTCTGGTGTTTTTTCCTTGATACCATGTGTCACAATCATGCACACAGGGAAAGGCGCGGTTCTCCATTTTGCTCCAAACTTCTGCATTTTGGTATTTCTCTTGAAACTCATATGCCTTCATCTGAGAGGGGAGGTGTAGCAATCGTGCATACAAGAGCCAGGCACGGCCCTCACTGTGTTAAGAAGTCTTAATGTTATCCCCTCCTTTCCCCCTCCCTCAGGAATGCAATCAGTGTATGATGCTGAGCCCCTGCCTAACAATCCTTTGACTAAATAAGGCAATTGGGTTCTTTTGTAAGAGACACCCCGTTGGTTTTGAGTAGAAAAGAGGCTGTTATGTTTTGTGTGTAGACAGAGAAGTGAGGACCCTCTGTGTTTAACATCTCGCAGAGTGAGAGAAGCAGTCTCCTGCGATGAACCAACGAAACTAGCAGTCGAGACACAGCATCCTTTTTAGCTTATCAGACTTGAAACTGCTTAACCCCAGGCATCTATTTGGCAAGTACTTATTTACCTAAACTTCTTTCTGTTATCTGTTTTCTGTGCTGTTGTGCTCTGTGTATATATATATATATATATATATATATATATATATATATATATATATATATATATATATATATATATATATATATATATATATATGTTACATATTGTTTCTGTAAATATTTCTACTGCACCCTTTTGACCTTTTAGTGATAAACCTTACTTTCTGAAAGTGTTGAACTGTTTCTATAGCTCTTGAATGTAACTTACGAATCCCTGCCGCTGAAGAACTCTACTATGAGTGTTTAACCCTCTGTATAACCTGTCCGTGGAGATAACGGTATACCGACGATTAACCAATCATCCTAGTGTATTGCTGAGTTTCCGCTTTCTCTGTATAAAAAGGAGGTGGTGGCAGTGTGAAGGGTTAATTGCGTAATTAACCTGACCCATTAGCAAACGCTCCCAGGCTGCAGGTACATAGATTGTGGTCCAATTAGCTGGAAAATTGTTGTGCAGGGTGCAGCTGGGCGTGGCATTGTTGCACACGTGACATCACGGTGTTGGATTGCCTAGTCCTTCGGTCACGAGTTTGGTGAGAAGGTTGGGGGTCTGACCCGCGCCCGTCACACCATGCCTTATTTATCTCATAAATCTCTTATGTTAAAATCAGGCATGACATGCTTTCTTTAGTCAACTCTACTACAGCTCTACTACTAGTGCAATTATATCACTGTTAGTTTTATCATATCGAATCTTGTGAACATTTTCAATGTAAAAGTCAATTAACAAAGATTACGCCTTAAAATAACACCAGTGTCAGTGTGGTGATAACTGGAAGATTCTAAAGCGCTTCTCACAATCTGTGAGAAAACGGGGCAGTGGACGGGAGGTGCTTACATGCTTCAGTTGTGATGCTTTGCATCAAGCCCACAGCAAAAATGATTGCACCTGTCACATTCTGTGGGGAGTGCCACCACCGATTGTGGCCCATTAAAGTGCACGTGGTTGTGGCGTTTACAGGGTTGAATCGGGTAGTGTGGAGGCATCATATCACCACCTCCTCATCGACTGTCAAATGCCTTTGAAAACCAATCTGAAATATGACTGTTCAGTTCAATGGGCACCAGAGTATGACCCAGTCTATTCTGTAATGTAACTGGCCTGGTCAGACACACCTTCAACTAACCTTTTAACATGTTATTTTTTCCAGGATTAGACCCTGATAAGCACCTTGGGAAGACATTGGAAGAGATGAGACCCTACCTGAAACAGGTAATGTATTGTTTTATGTGGACTATTTGCTTATGGATAGTGACATCTGCCTATAGCGATGACATGCTTGTTGCCCTATTTGGAAAATTTAGTCTGGAACAGGTGATGGTCCTTGTGTTCCTGGATAGCTGCACATCACTCAGATACCAACAATGAACCATTCTCAATGGGCATGGAATTAGAATTTAAGAACCTAAATGGTCTTTGTTCTTACAGCTCTCTGCACAGTATGGTGTCCATGTGTGTGGAGAAGGAGGAGAATATGAGACCCTCACCTTGGATTGCCCTCTCTTTTCAAAAAATATTGTCATGTAAGTTTTTTTTCTTGCTATAGACATCTCGCATATCTTTTGGTAATGATACTGTAATGTAATATAATTTTCACCTCTACATTATTTCAGGCTTCCTAATCTTTGTCCTATGCTTCCACTGTGCGTGTTTTAAATCTGTGGTTTACAGCCTGGGCAGTGTGGATTGTCAGGATTTCCAGCTACTCATATAGTCATCCGTTTGGAACCTTGTCATATACAATATAAAACCTAGAACAACACAAATCTAAGAGTATTGCCCATCAAACTGTTCAGACGTTTGTTTTCTTTTGCTAAACAGGGAAAAACTGGATTTTAGTTATTATTTGTAGCTTTTGCTTTGGTTTGTGCTTGTCTTAATAATCACTGTTTTCAATTATTGTATTGAACCTTGGCTGGAAGAAATATAGAGGAATTATAGATTGATTTGGATTTTAAGCTTCTTTCTTTCTACAGCCTAAAAATAACTGCTGGTGCTGGTATGTACAGTATTGGTAAGGCTGGCTATACACAGCTAGCTTCTCATTCAGTCTGCTGGTGGATGGAGGGTTTTCCCCCTGCTGGCACATTGTATGGTGACCATTGTAATGTTTGACAGACAAAAAAAAATCACTCCGCTTTTTTGTGCACGGGGAACTATTTAGGTAACTATAGCAGCTCCACCCAATGCCACCAACCTAATGCGTTTCACTCAGAAGAGGTTAATCATCGACCTACTATTACGCTTTGCATGCAAAGCACATCAGAGGGTGGCAATAGATGGAGAGCCATGCATACCTGAATATAGCTACAAACGGCGGACACATTAGAAACTGTGGAGGGCATATCAAGGAATGCAAGGCCATAGATTTTGAGAGGGCTTAATGCAGGGTCAGTTTTCACTTTCTCTTTCCCATTACCTACTGTTTCAGCTGGAAATGTTATATTTGATCTGACATGAACATGTTTGCGTGTCAGGCTTCCCAATATTTTGAATTGAGTGAGAGGTAGAATGAGTTCAAGCAGCTCTACGAGAGTATTGGACATGGTCTGTTTATGAATGAACTTGAACTATTACATCTACAATGGTCAATTACAAATGGCCATATTTAGTTATTAGAGAGTTGCATGTTATGATTAAGTGTTACTGGATAGGTTGCTATGTTGTCAGATAGGCTTCCATATTATTCATGATATATAGTGACAATTTGTTTCCCGAAATGCCAGCGGCATAGCGCTATGGTGGTGAGTTACACAGCCATTCGCACTCAAGCATGTTCTGACTTGTTCTAACTTGCAGTCACCTGGGTTGCACACCAGTTGACTTAGTCTGTAAGGAGATGTAGAAGAAATAACACACATTTGTGCATTGATCTGTAGGCAGAAAACAAGTGACAGGAATCTGGAGCAGTGGATTAATATCACATTTTATGTGAAAGTTGGTTAAAGTGTGAGAGAAACTTTAGCTCCATGGTGAATATTCCATGGAGAAATGAAGATGTCCGTTTAGTAAACTGTGTTAAGCAAGTGATACGTTGTGTTAAGCACACCTTATCACTGCAAATCAGGATGGTAATTCCCTAGAGAGGTGTTTAATAAAACCGTATTAACTAAGGTAGGAACCAAATATCTCATCTCTTCACTTTACTGTGTTGTCTCTGTGAGAACTACAGTGATAGTATGGCAATGTGCCTGTTTAATAAACTGTGTTAGGCCCACAAGAGTGTTAACACTGGTGTAAACTTTTAATCCCCTGGATTTAACACCAAGTCCAGCCAGGTTTGAAAGCTTTCATTCAGTGTAGAAGACAAACTTTCACTGTTCATCTAGTGACAAAGATAATTCAGCTCAGTGTGGTCAATCTGTGCTTCGGGACAGCACTGTCAGACAGTGCAGGGTATGTGTTCATCTAGAACCGTACGTCTGAAGCACTCACATATCATGCATATCTAATGGCTGAGCAGAGTGGACATCTATGCTGAGAAAAACAGGAGAGCAGTAGACCTCAATGACAGAGAGGTGCATGTTTGCTACTGCATGGGACCACTTTCTTAAGTCAGCAATACATGGATCGAAATTTGTCAGGTTCAGCAAGGACAAGCTGAATTTCGATCCATGTATGGGCAGGCTGGTTGTACAGAATTCGAGTGGTAGATCAACTTTTGTACAACCACCCTGTTGGGTTTTTCCAGATCGATTAGGCTCCATTCACACATAGGCATTTTATTTCCCGGATGGAATTGCCACAATTCTGCTCACGATTTGAAAACGTGCTATTGTGAAAATATGCATTAGTGTGTTCAGGTGCTATTCGTTTCAATGGCGCCTGAAAATGTGGGGTGCTTTTGGCGCAATTGTAGTACGATTTTTCGCATGACAAATGCAACGCGTTTTTTGGTGCCATTGACATGAGCGACACCTGAACACACTAATTTGTATTTTCACATTTTTTCAGTGCATTTTCAATTTGCTGGCAGAGTCTCAGCGATTCCGCCCGTGATTTAAACCGCCCATGTGTGATTGCTGCCAGCTATAGCCTGCAGTACTGATCAGTGTATTCTGATGGAGGGGAAGCCTCCCTGCCATCAGAACACAATAGCTCAGTGGGAAGCATTCCCCCTTCCACTCACTCAATCTGTGTGGATGGGGGAAATCAAGTCATTTTTTTTAGTTCACTTTGCTGATAAACTAAAAAAAAAAAAAAAAAAAAGATTAAGGTATGGCCAGTCTTCGCATGTCTGACGCTTGGCAGCTGACAAGTAGGTTAGATAAGTACTCTTTCTAAACCTCGGTTCACACTCTGAACTGCATGTGAATCGCACAGGAACCGCACCGCATTCCTGTGCAATTCAGTGTGGTGCACTTTCACCCCCATTTATTTTGAATGGGCTGAAATCACACCACATCGTACCAAAGACATGCATGCACCATTTTTGGAACAACACCGCAACCGGATAGCATGGTTGTTTTGTACCAAGCATTCCAGTAGGTCAGAGGTGATGTCAGAACTGGATCATCGCCAGTACGGCTGGAGACGCTTTACATTATCAGCAGTAGTTTGCAGCTATACATCTCTGTGAGATTTACTACTGTCAAATGTGAATGCAATTTTAAATAACCTATTTGTGGTTTTTGTGGAACGTGCTGCACTATGGTGGCTTTATATGGTTGTGAGTTTTACCTACAAAGCCAGTTATGCTGACCAAGGGATAGCATTGAGGATACAGTGGCCATAAAGAGAGGTGGATTATCATCAGAGGAGAGGATATACCTTACCTCTAGTAAGAGGGGAGATGCCTGTTTGACCTGTCTTTGTATACGGCTTAATACATGAAGATGAGGGTCCATCTAAAAATCATGAATATTGCGGTGGTGCACTGTTTCAAAGATGTACATTACTGGGATAGTGGGCTCACTCACCAGTAGGAAACAGTTTTTCATCAATATCTCTGAAGATATTTTACTGGACTGTTATCTCTACCCTATACTGTCAAGTGATTATTTCATGGTTTTTGCACATATATATGTTTTATGTCAACAGTTTAGTTTTCACTAGAGTGGTTTAGGATGTAGTTTGAGCAGTGCAACACTACACACTGGATTTGCACTTATAATATATAGATATACTTTTTACATTTTAGTAAGGGTGTGCTTTAACATGTGTTTATTTTGTATTTTTAAACAGTTCTGAGGAATAACCTATGATTCCTTAACCACTTGCCCTCCTGAGGATTTACCCCCCTTAATGACAAGGCCTCTTTTTGCTACTTGGCGCTGCACTAATGCAACTGATAATTGTGCGGTCATGCAATGCTGCACCCAAATTAAATTTACATCCTTTTTTTCACACAAATAGAGCTTTCTTTCAGTGGTATTTGATCACCTGTGCGCTTTTTATTTTTCACGCTATAAACAAAAAAAGACCAAAAATTTTGAAGAAAAACGATATTTTTTACATTCAGCTATAAAAAATATATAGTAAACTCAAAGTTGGTTATAAATTTAGGCCAAAATGTATTCTGCTACATGTTTTTGGTAAAAAAAAATCCCAATAAGTGTATATTGATTGCTTTGTGTGAAAGTTATAGCGTCTACAAACTATGGTATAGATACTGCAATTTACACCATTTTTTGCTATACAGCGCTGTGCTAGTTTAATGGACAATTGTGCGGTCATGCAATATGGTACATAAATGAAATTTACATCCTTTTTTTCCCACAAATTGAGCTTTCTTTCGGTGGTATTTGATCGCCTGTGCGTTTTTTATTTTTTTTTTTTGCGCTATAAAAAAAGGCTGACAATTTTGAGGAAAAAAACAATATTTTGGACTTTTTGCTATAAAACATGTCCAGTAAAAAAAAATGTAAAAATCAAATTTAGTCATAAATTTCTGCCAAAATGTATTCTGCGACATGTCTTTGCTAACAAAAAAACCCCAATACGTGTAAATTAATTGGTTTACGTGAAAGTTATAGCGTTTACAAATGGCTGGAAATATACTGGGATTTTAAATTTTTTTTTATACTAATAATGGCGGTGATCAGCGACTTATGGCAGGACTGCGGGACTGCGGCGGACATTCTGACACTGGGGGGGAACTGACTTGGTGTCGCTGACATCCCCAGTGACACCAATACAGTGATCAGTGTAAAAAAAAACCCGCTGACACTGTACTAATGGCACTGGGCAGGAAGGTGTTAACTTTTTGATTTACTGAAAGGGTTAACTGTGTGAGGGGAGTGTTTTTACTAGGCGGCGGGGGTGTGTACTGCACGGGAACAAGGCTGATCCAGAAAGAGAAACTCTTCTGTCCGGATCAGCATGTCAGGAGCTGACAGGAGACTTACAGAAAGCACTTTCTGTCAATGATTGCCTTGCGCGCGCCCCCTACCTGTTTTGCAAACGCATGTTTTAAAATGTGGTTTTGCCCAGCCGTGCTGACCTGCCACCGTATTTCTACAGTGGCTGGTCGGCAAGAAGTTAATGTGGATCATAGGTTTCCTCACACAGGATGGATGCTGTG